TTCTCGGCACTCACAGCCAAAACAGTACTAAACTTGGGGTTTTTTTTTTTGTTAAAGGAAAATAATTACACATGCTGTAGTTGAGTCAACACTGTTATTAATAATTCAAGTGATGTCCTGAGTCGCTGAAATGCTACTCCAGCTCTCAAGTCTCTGCTCCCTTGGAATTCCCCCAAAGAATTAGAAGGTTTGGTATTTTTCATCTTTCCTGTGTTATGTAAGAACAGAAATAACATAATCATCATGTCGGCAGGGCAAAGACATTCACCGACAAATGCAAAAGTTGAGAAAGCAATGAAGAAAGCCGTCAGCATGAGCCCAATTCATGGTGACCTGACAGACTGGGCCATTCGTGAAGTGGGGAGAGCCTCATGGAAATGGGGTGTCATAACAGGGCTCCTAACAAAGCAAACAGTCCCACATTTCTCAGGAGGAAAAGTCCATGGCTGCTGAGAAACAAGAATTTTATGTGCAAATACACTAAACAAAACAGAATTTCCCACCCTCAGCACCAGGGACACTAGGCTGAAAACATTGGGTTTTCTGGCTGGTTGGGGAGCAGAGGCAGGAGACATGGGGAGCGCTGAAAACTGTTTACATCACGAGGTGCCAGCAGGGTCCCCAGCTGTGACAATCAACAATGCCCGGAGACAGGGCTGACAGTCTTCTTTAGAATCAGATGTTAAAAGGGAACAGCGCTAAATAGATGCCAAATGATGAAATCCTTAACGATTATTTGAGACAAAGTATCGAAAGAACTGGACTCATGTATTACATAGTCTGCTCTAGAGGAGACGCAATATGGATTACTTCTCACCATCAAGGTGATAAAAATCCTCTTCACTGGGCCATACGCAACACCAAGATAGGTGGAGAAGATGGAAAAAGCAACACCATGATAGGTGGAGAAGATGGAAAAAGCAACACCACGATAGGTGGAGAAGGCTGAAATTATCAGCGATTTCATCTTCCTTGGCTTCACAATCGGTACACCTGGCACCAGCAGTCAGGAGATCAGGAGACAGACTGAATCGAGCAAGTTCACTGTCAGGGATCTCTCCAAAGTACTGAGGAGCAATGGTGTTAGTTGGAGGACTCAGGTGTGCCTGATTCAAGCCAAGGTCTTTCCACTCACTCGTTATGCATCTGAGAGCCGGATAAAGGATAAAGATGACAGAAGAAGAATCAACGTCTTTGAACTGTGATGCTGGAAAAGCAAGGGACATCACGCTTGGAGGAGTGGAGGGTCAGTGAAACAGGGGAGACCCTCAATGAGACGGACTGACACAATGACGTCAGCAATGGGCTCAAGTGTGTCAGAAATGACGAGGATGGCTCTGGGTCAGACAGGGTTCAGATCTGTTATTTATTCACAGGGTTGCTAGAAGTCCAACCAGACTTGATGGCAGGAGTGACATTGACTTCCTAAACAACATGCCTCCAGAAACCCTATGAACTTTCATAAATGTTGATAGTTTGAAAGGGGTTTTAAGCCCTTTGTTCATAGGGTCACTGTGAGTCGTGCTCGACTCAAAGGCAATCAACAACAACTAGAACAAAAACTTAAGAGGAACTCTGTATCAAATTTTGTATAGACACAACTATGAAACTGAATAAAGTCTATGAAAGTATAGCTTTTAAACTGGGCATCAGGCCATGCAGGACCGTGACCCCACAGAGGAGGAGAGGAAGTGAGTGTCATGAAGCCCAGCTGAGCACCTGGAGCGATTCCCAGGCCCCCACACAGGGAGGGGGACAGAGAGCCAGGGGCTTGCTGATAAGAGATACGGTGCTGTGATTCCAACCCACAGGACCCGTGTGACAGACCCGAACTGACTGTTGGCACAGCTCCCTAGGTGTGAAGCTGACGGGAGCAGATGACGAGGGCTTCTCCCCTGTGGAACTAGGACTGAACTCTCGACTCTTTGGTCAGCAGGTAGAGTGCTTCAACTTTACACCACCAGGGCTCCTTTCGGGAGGCTTTAGCCCAATCCATTACTGTGGCCTCTGTGGGATTTCGGACGCTGTGAGCTGAACAGGAGGAGATTGCCCATCTTTCTCCCGCAGAGCCGCTGCTGCTGGGTTCAAACCACCTGAGAGGTGCCGCCTTTGGGTCAGTCCTGCATCTCCCCACAGACCTAACTACCAATGTGCCACGCAGGGGGCAAAGGCAGGATGCGTGAGGGAGAGGACCAGGGAGAAGTGAAATGAGAGGAAGGTTCTAGAAGCTTTGAGAGGGTAAGAAAAGAGTATCTTCATCATTTCAGGATATTCTGTAAATTTAAGAATGCCTCCTATTGGTCTCTGGTGCGTTCCCCAAGAGACAAGGTCTGGGAGCTCCCCAAGCTTACATTTGAACTTTCCCTGCTTTGAATAAGCTGCCCCCTCTGCGCCTCCCCCCAGCCTTCACCTGTGATCTCCAGCCGTTTATGGATTCAACTGACCCAGCTAGCCAGACAAATCATGTTCCCAGTGAAGGTGAAAGTGGAAAAATCAGAGTTGGAGAGGGTCAAGGTCCGGAACCAACTGGATGCTGTTCTGCAGTGTCTGCTGGAGAAGAGCTGCATGGACAGAGAGCGTCTAGATGAAGAAGCTGGGAAGACACCCTCAGACGCCCACAAGGACTGCTCCGTTGCAGCCACTGCCAAACGGCCATCTGCCCACTTCCCCCACCAGCGGCGTAACAGAGGAGGGAGACGGATGATGGGCTGGCCGAGGGAGGGCCCCAGCGATCCAACACATATATGATCAAGCTGTCTGACCGGAGTGTGGAAGGGCATCCATGAAAGAGTGGAAGCCCCTCAAGGCCATGGATTACCATGAGTAACAGTAACAGTGACCTTGAGCACGTCAGAGCTCCTGAGGGCGGCACAGGTCAGGACAAGGTTTAGATCTGTTGTTCTCAGGGTCACTATGAGTCACAGTCACCTTGATGACATCTCATGACAAAACTTAGGACCTTCTGAAGTACATCACAGGGTCTGAAGTACATCACAGGGTCTGAAGTACATCACCGGGTCTCAAGTACACCACCGGGTCTCAAGTACACCACCAGGTCTGAAGTACAACACCGGGTCTCAAGTACATCACCGGGTCTGAAGTACATCACAGGGTCTGTCTCCCAAGGCCCTTGTCGGTAGATGTGAACCATAAACTTCTTTATTAATCTGTTAACTGCTTAACTATTTGGGCCATCCTCAAAGTCACATATGTTTTCTATGACTTTCTCTCTTTACATAACAGAATAGATTTTCCTATTTAAAAAGTACATACAGGGAGCTCTGGTGGCCCACTGGGTAAGGAGTTGTGCTGCCAACCCAAAAGCCGGCAGTTTGAATCCACTAGCTGCTCTGCAGGAGAAAGGCGGCCAATCTCTTCCCTTGGGCTTTGGTGGCGGTGTTGGGGCTACATCTCCTATGACTCACAGCGGCTCTCTGACCTCAGATCTGAACTTTTCCCTGTTCTGCTCTATCCTCAGGACCTCTGCTCTGCTCGGGACCACGTGGCCACTACGTCAATCTGTCCTGTGGAGGGTCTTCCTTTCTTTCTCTGACCTTCCACAGTGAAATCCCACTGGAGGGTCAGCGATGAGTCAGTTCCAGCTTGGTAACAATGAGTGAGCTGTTAGTTTTACTCAGTGTGGTCTACCGAAAGGAGCCTCAGTGGCACAAGGGTTAAAATATCTGATCGCTAACAAATGGTTGTACATAGATTGAGACTGTTAACAACTTTAGTCTGCTTGGCTCCACAGTCAACACTTGGCAACAGCAGCCAGGAAATGAAAAAATGTATTGTGATGGGAAAGTCTGTTGTTAGGGAACTCTCCAAAGTACTGAAGAGCAATAGTGTCTCTCTGGAGACTAAGGTGAGTCTGATGCAGGCCATGGTCTTTGCTATCACTTGTTATGCATCAGAGAGTTGGACAAAGATTAAGGAGGATAGAAGGAGAATTGATGCCTTTGAGCTGTGGTGCTGGAGAAGAGTATTGAAGGTACCATGGACTGCTAGGAAAACAAACAGATTCATCCTGGAAACAGTTAAACCGGGAGGCTCCCTGGAGGCAAGGATTCTGAGGCTCTGTCTAACATACTTTGGACATGTTATAAGGAGGGACAGGTCCTTGGAGAGGGACATCATGCTTGGGAGGGTGGAGGGACGGCGCAGAAGAGGAAGGCCCTCTATGAGGTAGACTGATTCAGTGACTGTGATAATCGGGATGGGAGTGTCAGAGACAATGAGATTGGCACAGGACAGAGAAAAGTTTAGGGCTGTTATACATAGGGTCGCTATGAGTTGCAAGCGACTCGACAGCACATAACAACAAGAAGTGGTTGTCAGTTTGACTCCACTGGCCACTCCATGTAGAAGGTGTGGCAATCTGCTTCTGCAGAGGTTTACAGGCTCAGAATCCCTACACGGAAGCTTTACTCTCTCGCACAGAATCGCAGTGAGAATGACCGGACACCAGTGAGCTGCTTGTGTCCTATACTCTGCAGTCCCTTCCTGCCCCTCAGCAGATGGAAAGCTGTCCTCGCTCGCCCTGAAGCCGGCTTTCCAGAGCATGGACACTAAGCTGTGGGCCAGCCGAGCACAGTGGGCTCAGCTGAAGTGCAGGAGAAGGGAAGGTCTAAACAGACTGCATAATCACAGCGACCCAAGCCCTTCTCGGCTCCCACGCGTGACCATGTTCCATACTGATAACCCTGCTGAGTGCAAATCATCAACGCTCACTGTTCTCCCCTCAGTCCCTCTTTACGGATGCACGGGTGGCACCTCGCGGGTTCCAGTTCTCTGTTCACCGCACAGCCTTCACCATGAGACCCCACCGTTCAGTGTCCCCAGGGCGCTCACGGCAGCCACCTCCATCATCAGCTCTCTTTTTCTGCATGGACAATGCAGTATTAACTTAGAAAACAGTCTGTGATAAAAACACAGTATTATTTTGTTTTAGAATTTGACCATGGGACGAAATAGCCATGGAAAGACCCTGTGAAACTTACCTCTGCCACTTCCTTTTGAAAGGTTAAGGTCATTTGGGTTCTCCCGTAAGCAAAGGGCCCATTTCGAGAGGAAACATTCTCCAGCCACTTGATAATCAATGGAGTTGATACACTAAAAGGCAGGTTCCCGATAATGTGGATATTTGGTGGGTCTGCTTAGCAAAGAGGAAAAACACAATAAAATGATTTCATCAATATAGTCTTAATACAATTTTAGTTAATTCTAAAGTCAAACTTAATAGTATCACACTAAAATATCAGAAATACATTGGTGACTATTTTTCAGTCCATTTATTTTTCCAAAGCAATGTCTTCTCACCAGGAAGACATATATGAGTAAGGAAGAATATTCTAGTTAACTAGTTTTGTGGCAGGAAGAGGCCTCAGCATTTCTAGCTCAGGAAACACATGAAAGAGAGTTTGTTTGAGGGAAAAGATCATTTCGCTTTGAATGCAATGAGTTTCAAATACATCCGAAGGTGAGACACGCAGGAGTGGGGTACAGTCTTGATAACAAAGGTTGAAGGTCACCAGTGTGCAATTTTTTGGGCAAAGCCAAGTTGACTTGAAGTGACCCCAAATGACAGAGAACTGCCCAGAGGTTTACCTGGATAACCCTAAGCCAATGGCCAGGCCTTTCTCCCAAGGAACCACTGTTTGGGTTTGACCTTTACTTAACAGTCTAGTGTTTAATCACTGCGGCACCAGGGCTCCCTGACTGCTATACACAGGTGGCAAAGGAAGGCACAGGAGTGAAGTAATCCAGGTCAATATGCAACATAAAAGGAGGTGCCAGGTATTTCAGGGTTGATTAATTTTATAAAATATTATGAAGAGAGCAACTGTATGAAACATAATGTGAATGAAGACAATGTGAAAAACCATGCATATGAACTTTGTAAGCAAAGCAGTATAAAGAAAATTCATTTTAGAAAAAATTTAAAAAAATAAAGAGAATGTGCCCGAGAAGAAATTCTCAGAAACCACAGCAGATGAGGAGCTAGGGAATGAATAGTCACCAGCAAAGGACAGCGAAGAGAGAGCTCAGAGCAGTGTGAGACGCAATGCGAGGGGCAGTAAAGGGGGCAGGGAAGACAGAGCAGAGGCAAAGCCAGAGGGACACCTGCGGTGAGAAGGGGCGGGACAGTCCAGAGGGCACGTGATGGGGACACTGCTGCTGCTCTGAGCAGCCTGGCTGTGGGGACATCAAAGCTCTGTCCCCTGTGTCTGAGCGCTTTTCACAGGCAAGAGACACCCTCTCTGCATCTGTGTTCCAAAGCGCTGGCATGAGCAGGTCCCCAAGGGAGGCTCTCCATAAAGGAAGACGAGTCACTGAGCGCACGGGACAGTGAGGGAGGAAGATTCAGAACAGCCTGGGTGTGGCTGGGTTTATCGGGGCCTCCTTTTCAAAAAAACACTTCACAGCTCATCTCTTCAATGACATGGGCATGTGACACAACACTTTATTTGCACAGAACCCAGAACATTTGAGAAGCTAAGAAAAATAAATGTGAATTAAGAAAAAGTAACTGATAGTGGAGTGTACTTAGGGCGGGGGGATTGTATACCAATGAAGGAATTTTTCTTTTACTTTTCAAAGAAAAGAGTGAACTGGGGTGGGGTGGGAAGCGGCAGGCAAGGAGAAAATGCAACAATGAATGAGTGGAAATAAGAAAATCTCTGTAAATGTTTATTAAAATGAATAATTTATTTTTTAAAAAATAAAAAGTAACTGAAGCTCATATTTTAGGGAAAAAGTAGTAAAGCAGAAAAAAAATCACAACGCATATTTCCTATCTAATTCTACACTGTTAATTTTCTGCCTATAAATATTTAAGCACAGTAATTGCAAAAGGAAATTGAAAAACTAGAGTTGAGGCACTTACCGTCCTCCCACTGTCTTTTAAGAGTTTCTGGAAAAGCGTTTTCTGTCCTAAATGTCAGCACATCTCCATGGACAATCCGCAGTTTCCCAGGCGCAGCTTCAGAAAGCATCTATTTACAAAAAGGTCCAGACAGTGAGCTCGCTTGGCTGCGAGAATAAGGACGAGAAGGTCCCACCTCACACCTGTGCATCATCGGATCAATCCAGAAAGCCAGAGACTGACCATTAATGAACTACTGACGTCATGGTCATGGCCACAGAGAATTGTGAAGTGTCACATTTAACACAGAGAGGACTACAGAGATCGTAACGAATACGGTGTAAGAGTTTATAATTTCACAAATAATTCATCAATGTAATGTTACCCTCTCAAAGTTTGTATTTCTGTATATATTCTGTATTTGCTCAACTTCTGGTGATAAAGTGTATTTTTAAAGTAAAGAATAAAAAAAACCCCAACCATCCCCTCAAACTCACTGTCACCAAGTCAGAAGTGACTTCACTGCTGACCCTCCAGTGGGTTTTCAGAGGCTGTAACTTTTTGTGAGTAGACTGCTCATCTTTCTCCCCAGAAGCAACTGGTGGATTTGAACCATCCGTATTAGGGCTGGCAACACAACTTCTTACCCACTAAGCCATCAGAGCACCCTCAATGAAATACTAAAGATATAATGAAATATCAAGATGTATGAGTAAACCATGTATGTTGTTGCTGAGTACCAGCGAGTCGCAACCCATTCACAGCTGACCCTCCGGCGGGTTGTCAGAGGGAGTTTATCACATGAGAGGAGACTTCCCATCTTTTTTCTGGGGAGCAGCTGGTGGATTTGAACTGTGTACCTCAGGGTTGCCAGCATGACTCCTTAACACTAGGCCACCACAGTTCCCTAAAACACGTATGCTGTCACTATTGCTATGTGCCATCAAGTTGAGTATGACCCATAGTGACCTATCAACAACAGATCCAAATCTTGTCCTATCCTGTGCCACAATTTCTGTCACACTAGAGCCCATGTATAAGATGAGCTTAATTCACATTAAATCTTTACCACCTATATTAATTTCAAAACAAAATCCCACCAACCGCTGTGAAGTCTGTCCTGACTCCTGGCAACCCTCCCTTGGGTTTCCAAGCCTGTGAACCTGCCATCCACAGGAGACTGTGCCATCCTCACCCTGCAAAGCAGCTGTGGGTGTGTTCCAACTGCCCAGCACGTAGCACATCGCATCAGAGCGAGTGTATGTAGGGCCCTGTCAAAGCCCAGCTGCTCTCGGAGTCACTGCCCTGACCAGCTTGGCCCCAAGGCTAACAGTCCAGGAGCCAGGGAATTCCCCCGCACCACACAGGCCTCCTCACAGATGCCTCTCCCTCCTTTTCTACCTTCCAACCTTTTGCTTCCCCTCATCAGTCAAGAGAGACCACCTTTGTTGACCATTTCCCCTTCTCCTTTTTATCCACTTTAGCATCATACTTAGAAAATGCTGCTAAAGTATGAAAGTGCTGGCGCTGTTCCAAGAAGAGGCTTTGCTCTAAGACACCTATAAATTCATACTGCATTCAGTGCCCTCATTCCCAGACCAGGATTTGATTCCTGAAGTCCTTTGTGAAAAACAAAGTCCCGAAGCTTATAACGTTTGAAATGCAAGAGTGGAGTGGGGCAAGTAGTCATAGGATCAAAAAGTCCTTTTAGCCTCTCTTCAAGCTCAACTTGCAGGCAAACTAGACAGGTCTATCAGTTGAACAGTAACACCCCGGGGATGCAAGTCCTTAGAGCCCATCAACTCCATGAGATCTAAAGCATTTGCTCAGGGAGAAAGGCCAGGAGGCTGGAAAGGAAAGGAAGGAAGGACAAACCGAAACGGTGAATGAAGTAGGAAGTGTGAAAAGTGATGTGATGTTGTAGGAACTGTAATCACTGTCACAAAACCAAATATGGATGAACAGCTGCATGGAGAGCCAAGGAGCTCTGTAATTTTCATGCAAATCACAATAAAAAGTGTGAAAGGGTAAGAAAGAACATCACTGCTAAAGGCACAGCGATTCCCTCCTGACTCAGGGGGCTCGGCCCCCACCACCCCACAGGTTTCCCCACAGCCACGGACAGCAGGCCCAAAGGGACCCTGCCCCGAGCACGCTACTTCCACGTCTCTGGCTCAGCTGAGGCTGGCCTCCCTCTCCTAACAGGCTCTCCTTGGCCAAGTGATGGACCTGGGTGGAAGACACAGAGAGGCACCCCAGATACCAGAGAGGGGACACTGGGACCACGAGGGGGTCCGACAGGCCATTGCCCCTGTCAAGATGGCACCCCGTACGCACCGCTTTGTAGCACGAACAACCCCTCACACTGCAATTCTTCACCTACAGTTTCACTCTGCAGCCACAGATGCGCCTTGAGGACAGTGGGTGGGGGTCTCTCACCCCCCACGTGTCCCCCGCTGCGCCAGCAGCACCTACTGAGCACTTAAAGCTCTTCTGCTTGTTTTGATGTTTTGTCATTTTGGGCTTTTGCTCTTGTTAACTTTACAGTCGGGGGGTGGGGGGGAGAATGCTTAAATATACTCAAATAGATTTAAAAATGCAGTAACAAGTCCTTGGATAAGGACATCATGTTTGGAAGGGTGGAGGGACAGTGCAGGAGAAGATCCCAGATGAGACGGACTGGGCACAGTAACTGGGGTAATGGCAGGAGGTGTGCTGGAGACGTTGACAGTGGCTCAGGACAGGGCAGGCTTCAGAGATGCTGTGCATGTACGGTTGCCATGAGTGTAAGTCGACCCAATGGTACAGAACAACAACAAAACCACCCAACTGCTACAGAGCAGAGCTGCGCTCCAATTTTCAAGGGTTACCTCTCAGAGGTAGTTCAATCAGCATTTCTTCCAAGGTACATCTGGGTGGCCTTGAACCACTAACCTTGAGATTAGTAGTTGAGCAGTCAGTTATCTGTATGACCCAAGGTGCCCTCCAAGCATAATAAAACCCCCAGCAACCCACGGCCATCAAGCTGGTTCTGGCTTTGAGGAGGTTTGTATGTTGGCAGTGGTCCACAGGATGTCCAAGTTGGTAATATTCACAGAATCGGGCCACCACATCTCTCACCTGGAGAGTGGCTAGTGGGATTGAAACGACCTTGACTTACAGTTAGCTGACAAGCATTTAAGCACCAGGGCTACCTCCCCATCTCACTCCCTGCCATCCACTTGATTCTGACTCATATCAACCCTTAACTGGGGCTGTAAGTCTTAACAGGAGGCGGTGGCCTATCCTTTTCCATGAAGCTGCACAACCTTTGGTTACCATGGCAAAGCACAGCTGACTGCGCCACCATCCCTCTAACCCAGCACACTGCAGGTGGGTAACACGTGTTTAGTAAGTAGATGAATAGGTGAATGACCAAACGGTATTCTTCTTCCTCTGAGGTCAGAAACTTCTGTTAGTCTTTGAAGCATATGGCTCCCAGAATCCTCTGGGTCAGGAAACTCACAAAGACGTACTTTGCTAACAAAACAGAATTATACAATTAATGTTTCAAAAACATGGAGCCGAAATACCTGTATTGTTAAGAAGCCAAACATTTAACTTTAGGAAATACATGTTTTGGTATCTTAAACCATGAAAATAAAGCAAAAATAAATGTCTACCTCTAATATTAATTTTCTTATAGATTATTACAAAGTGCCATTATTAGTTCAATCTATCTGCTTTATTGTTTGAACATTTAGTCTACGTTCCAGACACTAAACCTTAGAAAACATAACAGTCTCAATACATTTTAAAAAGTCCTCTTTGGCTATCCCAAACTCTTTGGCTCTCTCTAACTGTATGAAAACTTCATATTTAATGACAGCATTTACTGTCAATAGAAAACTCTAGAATATTTTCCTATAATTATACTTTACATAATTAAAACACCATAAATTAGCATACCACAAAAGCTTATGCTTCATGATGTCAATATATAGCAGTAATTACTAAGTGGGTCTAAAGTAAAATAAAATAATGTAAATTTAGCTCGTTAGCATTCAGTACTCCCTCTGATACTTAAGCGTACTTGAAACACTAATTATTCCCACCAAGAGAGACAATGGGGCATGTCAGAAAACTCATACAATACAGCATACCTTCTTTTTCCTAAGTTTAAAATTCAATTTTTATTTTGTGTGGCTACCCTTTTGGGTCTGAATCTTAGTAAATGATTAACCAAACCCTATTCACTAAAAGGGAGCTGGGGTGGCTTAGTGGTCAGGAGCTGTGCTGCCAACCTGAAGGTACGCAGTTCGAATCCACCAGCTGCTCGGTGGGAGAGAGATAGGCAGTCTCCGCCTGTGGCACTGACTGCCTCTCTACATCCACTGGAGGGCTGGTTCCATCTTGAAAGTACACAGTAACTTTGGGGTGGGATTATTCCCTTTCACAGCCCTATCAAAAGAGCTGATTTTACTCAGCATTTCTTAAACTGAAAGAACCTAAGAATAAATTCAAGCCATGAGTTGCAATGCTTAAAGATGCTATGGGAAGAATACAGAATGATTCAAGAAGCATTAAAAGAAGATGGATTATACTGAGACACTGTATCAAAAAGAAGTGGTAGACACAGAAGAATTTCAAGAAACAACATATGAGCAAAAGGCAATGGAGATGAAGGAGGAAGTTCAGGGTGTGCTGAAGGATGTGGTAAAAAATAAAGCCCCAGGAATTGATGGAATACCAACTGACATATTTCAGCAAACAGAAGCTACCCTGCATGTGCTCACCAAGTTGTGCCAAGAAATCTGGAGGACAAACAGTTGGCCAGCTGATTGGAGAGATCCATATCTATTCCCATTAAAAAAAACAAACACGTGACCCTAGAGTTGTGGAAATTATAGAACAATACCGCTAATATCACACACTAGTAAAATCCTACTAAAGATTAACCAGAGAAGACTTGAACAGTACGTTGGCAGAGAATGACCAGAAATACAGGCTGTGTTTAGAAGAGGTTGTGGCGTTAGGGACATTATTACCAAAGTCAGATGGATTTGGCAAAAAAACAGAGTACCAGAAGAATGTCTAGCTGCGTTTCATTGACTATGCAAAGGCTTTTGACTGTGTGAATCACAATAAATT